AGCAACGTGTGGCTAGAGTCATCAGGAGGGGTTCGTACCTCGTCCGTGACCGGAGATACCGTCGACTGCGATGTCAGGGACGTTGGACGATCGAGCTCTGAGCCCGCGGTCAAGCCACTCTCATATCTCGCAAAGGGCCGGGCTCGAGATTCCCCGGTCGGGAAACTCCGATCCAGAGATCGTTTGGGACTCCAGTTCGGGGACTCGTGGTTCGGTTCGACATGATCATCATCTTGTGAAAGAGCATTCCGCAATCCTGAGCTACGAGACTCAAATTTCTGCGGTGGACGGTTCTTCGCATCTCCCATCGACAGTGGCTCTTCAAGTGGAATTTTGTTACCAGAGTCCACAGAGACGTTCGGGTTGAAAGAGATCGAGGGTCGACGAGTGTGCAGATAGCTGTCGAGAGGGGATCCCTGCACATCATCGGGCTTGTGCGGGAAGTTGTCGGCATCGTCTACGTGATGCTGCTCACCGGGGCGCGGGACGGATATGGGAGGGGTCGCTGAGTGTAGATCACTTAACAAACTGCGGTCTTCATCAGTATCGTGGCGACGCGCATAATCATAAGCTTGATTGGTGTGATCGCTCTCGATACCATCGCCCACTGTTGTCGCCTTCCTCCCAGCGTTTTCATTCGCCCATTTTGGCTTGTCCCGCTCATGGAACTGCGTTTCAATCCTTAAGCCTGCCAATCCACTTGCCAATCCGGCCCTCTCGCTATGTGCCATGCCCTAACGAAGAGCACGAGACCGAAATTGTCGTATAGTCAGCCCGTTATCGGCTTGCAGTAGGGTTATATAACCCTCTGCTTGGCCTTTTGGTATGCTTCTCGATGGTTGGAGATGATGATGATTGTGGGGTGATAGTGTCAAAAGTGGGGTACAGAGCGTTTCGATATATTGGTGATTTCAATGAAGTCGTAATTGAGGAGGAGGTTTTAAAAGTTGAATCAGAAATAAGAAAAAAATCCAGATGAGACACAGTGGGTACAAACAAAGGTGGTAAGGGAGTGATTGAAAGTGAGGTATACGTCAAGTAGTTCAGTCCTGAGAGGGGAGAAAAAGACCGGGGAAACCCGGAGGATAACGATAATTGAAAGTCACCTGACTTAAGGACAACCCTGGCCCTAATTTCCCTTCATGGCCAGGTATACAGCAGGAAATAGGGGCATCTTGGGTATTTATTACTTTGATTGTTCTCCACAGTCTGATGTACAGTCTTCATAAAGTGCCAACACAGACATTATCTATACTCAACTGTCTTGAGCAAATCTCCTAATCTATCGATAATGGCATAGTAGACATACAAAGGCCAATATCTCATCGAAGCTCTGACCAGTCGGCCATTATTACGTGACCACACATGGGCTCAGGGGTCAAGCCATAGTTTTAACCGCGCGCAAGGGGCGCTTGTTTGAGAATACCTCCTTTTGGCTTTTGGAGATGTGAAAGGAGTTATCATTCAGACTTGAAGTCGCCTCCACAGACACCGCTTTGTTCCTTCTTTTCTCTTCTCTTTTTCTCCTTGTCGCTCTGGCAGTAATTTCTTTCTTCTTGTGCTGACCTCCGTGCTGGACCGAAGTGCAGACCAGCCCCCACCATTCTCATTCAAGGCACTGTCTCTCATTCAGACCAATTTACCAAGTGCTTGCGACCCCCAGTCGACTTTTTTTTTTTTTGCTGTCTATCTTTCGTATATTACTTGTCTACATGAAATTTGGAGCTTTGCGCATTGCTTTTGTCCCGCGCTTGTCTCCTAACTTCCACATTTCTGAGTCGCTAGTCACTCCTTGCGCTCGCGACTTGTCTCAATCCCATTGCTCTTGATACCACACTCATTCACACTGCAACATGACTAGGCCTCAGATTATCCGAGCTGGTAGGTCAAATGCTTCTGCGCGGGGCCAATTGCTTCGAAGTTGAAGGTGTTGACCGCCATCTCTAGATACCTTGGACCTTCAAGATCACGATGCCCCTTCCGCCAAAGACCACACCAAACAACCTGAACACCCAGAGCCTCTAGGGAGCGGCCGGCCTGCTCCCCATCAAGAACTTTCTATTCGTCATGCCGAACAAGATTCGCAAGCGGAGTTAAAGGGCGGTCCGGACAAGATACACGAGTTCCGCGGTGACAAGGAGGTATATCGAGAACCAGATGATGAGGAAGATGAGAATGAAGGTCACTACGGCCATGAAGACGGCGATCTGGCAGACGGCGAAAGCGATGATATGATGGACGATGACATGGACAAAATCTCCAGTTCGCCATCTATTGATGATGGTACGGATTCTCGGGGACTATAGGATCTAATGGAGCGTTAGCTGATGTTATACAGAGGACATTGATTTTGAGTTTGTATATGCGCTTCACAACTTTGTCGCAACGGTTGATGGGCAAGCAAATGCCGCAAAGGGTGATACTATGGTTCTTCTCGATGACAGCAACAGCTACTGGTGGCTTGTGCGCGTCGTAAAGGATGGCAGTATTGGTTACCTACCTGCGGAACACATCGAAACACCAACAGAAAGGCTTGCCAGATTGAATAAACACAGAAACGTGGATCTGTCTGCGACCATGTTGGGCGATAATAACGAAAAGTCGAAGAATCCTTTGAAAAAAGCCATGCGCCGCCGGAATGCGAAGACTGTTAACTTCGGGGCTCCGACGTATATCGACGCCTCCGACGTCGATTACTCAACAGACGATGATTCCGAGCACGGCGACTTCTTCAACGACGACGAGACTCTGGATGGGGAAGAAGAAGATGTGCAAGAACAAGCCCAAGATATTGTTGTGGAACCTCTTAGGCCCAAAGCCCAGAAAGAACACCCCGCAGAGCATGCTGATGCCAACGGTGGGGAGAGACAAGATCCGCAGCGTTCAAGTTCTGATCGACGTCCGTCTAGTGAAGAGTTCTTTGAGGCCGAAGGTAAATACACTCAACTCAACTGCTCTCGGATCGAATGTGGAACTCACTCTCACAAAGTAGAACCTACTGTCAGTAGATCCAGAAATGGCACTGTACGCAACACCGATTCCTTTTTCAAAGACGATACTGCCGAGCCCAAGAAGATTTCTCTCACGCCAAATCTTTTGCGCGATATTCGCGACGAAAACAGCACAAGTACCTTGGCTGAGTGGAAGGAGGTATGTTTGCCATAGTGGGCTTACCCAAAGAATAGTTGGCTGACGTTTCGGTGAAGCCTACTCGTGGAAGCTTTGAATCCATCGAAAAGGGCTCTAACTCACAGGAAAAGACCAAGGAGAAAGAGGAGAAAAAGCGAAAAGACAAGAAACCCGGGATGCTCAGCGGGTTATTCAAGCGTAAAAAGAGCAAAGATGACGTTGACGACCTAGAGAGGTCTCCTGCAGAGTCGGCATTCCGCACATCACCCCAGCCCAAGACCTCGATGGAGTCTATCTCATCAAAGTCATTGTCCCCCGAACAACAGCGGCCCTCTAAGCCCCAGAAATCCTTGAACAATAAGCTACACAAGCAGCCCCCAGGAATCATGAAAGTTGATCCAGTCCTTGACCCTGCGATGGCCGAGTTCACGAGGGGCAACGTGGCCATTAATCAGGACCAGGGTAACAGGAGCATTCGACAGGTGCCACTGCAAGAAGAAAGAGAAAGCAGCTACGAAGACTGTGACATTGTTTTACAATCGCCTATTAGTCAATCGAGTCCTTCCAAGGACCCCTTTGCTACTCCGCTCGAGTCCATGGACCCCCTGGAGTCGCCTGTTGATCGACCATCCAGTGAAGCCCAATGGAGAGGACCCAATGATCCAGGCCGAACAACGGCTGGACCGGTGTCCGTTACATCTCCACCCCAGAAATTCGTCCCTACGTTGGGTGCTAGAGATGAGTCAGAGTCTCCCGTCAATATTTCTCCCGTGGAGGCTTATTCTCCCATGAGCGCACGCGGCTCAACAAATAATGCTTCTTCTCGAGAAGTGCGCTCTATCTCGCCACCGTCTCCGCCATCATCACCCGGGCAGGACGCTAATTACCCCAAGGGTAGCACGGCTGCTACTGCCTCACTAGACACCCTTTCTGTGGACACCCCGACGTGGAGCGATGCCAGTCTACGATCATACATGGACGAAGAAAATGACATTCGTGACTTATTTATTATTGTTCATGACAAATCAAATGTACCTCCCGCTGGACCTGATCACCCCATCACCGGCCGTCTGTTCAAGGAGGAAAGCAAGAGACTCAAGGAGATGAACAATCAGCTTGACGACATGCTTGTCAACTGGATGGCACAGCGTACTAACAGTTCGACCTCGACTCGTGGCATCCAGAGTCCACCTGTATAAATCAGGTGTGTATGAATCTCTTGGAACCAAAACCATGCGTTGATAGATGGTCCGCCTTGCACGGCGATGAAGGCCGAGATGTTTAAAAATGTGCTGGGCGCATCCTTTTTGGCCGACCCTTATTCTTTCTTTTCACCTCAACTTTCTTTTATTTCCATATTGTGTCTTGATTTCAGTTTGGCGCGAATCTTGCTCTTTATATTTCCATCGCCTCACATACGGAGAGCGATGTGAGAGCGATGTGACCCTGAACGTTCAACGGCCAGCTCTATTCACCATGCTTTCCATCTTTTTCTTCGATTTTCACCGGAATACCCCGACTCATCCGTGTTCAGTTTTGTTTCTTTCATATCTTGTCATTCAAGGCCAAACTGGCGTATATCTCAATACAACATCAGTTGCCAAGCATATTTTCCTGGGAAAATAAAGAAATATTCCAACGTAAGAAGGCGTACCCCTCCACTGTATGCAGGTAAGCAGATGATCAATATCTGATTGGAGAGAAGGAGCATTCCGAAGATCCTGCGGAAGATCGAAAGTCGTGCGGGCAGGTCAGCCGCACCATGTATACACAGAGCCCCCCGAACTCATCTGTCAGACATACATAAACCCTTTTCCTGTTTCCCGTCCCTGGTGCGACAACATTTTCCTTGACGCATTCGTCGCATCACCATGGCAGACCCATACGTTTACAGCTCACACTCAACGCCTACGCCCAGCGGGGTTGCCTACTATCCCCCAGAAGATCAGTCTCGGTACCCGGCCTATGGCCATCAACAGCCATATGGAAACCAAGAATATCATAACCCTGGACCGGACCAATACAACCATGTACCAGAGTCTTACCAGGCCATCCAAAGCCCAAACCAAACCTACGCTCCTCAGCAGAGCTCATACCACCTCGTGCCCGAGCCATATGGATCTACGGAGAGAAGCCATACGCCCACAGGGCAGCCAGACTACCTTGGGCCAGTGAATCCAACAGGAAATGAACATGCGCAAGACAGAATCCCGGAGAACGCAGGATACTAGTAAGTGGGCAATACGTACCCAGCTGGGAGAACCGACACTGACAGTGAGCTCTAGCAATAATCATCCAGCCGGTCAACCAGGGTACACACCCTCCGAAAGCCCCCATCGCCCCGCTGTGTATGAATCTGAACCAGACGATTCACGGCACAGTGGCATGGCTGAACAGCGTTCCGATACAGACACGGACACTGACCGCGGTATGGACCGCGGGCTTGGAGGTTCGCTTGCTGGTGGCGTGGCGGGCTATTACCTCGGCCATAAGAAAGAGCATGGCTTACTGGGCGCGATTGGTGGTGCTCTACTAGGAAATTTCCTGGAGGACAAAGTGAAGGATTCCAAGAATGATGACGATAGTGACAATGAGCATGGGCACGGTCACAGTGATCATCATCACCGTCGCCGTCGCCGCCATCATCACCACCACGGCCATCGGAGCCATTCAGGGCACTCTGGGCACTCTGGGCACAGTAGTTATAGTGGTCATAGCGGGCACTCTCATGGTCGGCACTCTCATAGTTCTCATCATAGCCACTCGAGGCACCGCGATGAGGAGGACTACTGAGTGGAACTAGATTTCGGGTGGTGTTTTTTTGCCTACGGTTTCCTTTGTCTCTTTTCTTTCTTTTCTTTGAACGTGCTGCAATTCTAGCCTTATGGCATGGAATATGGGTTAATGTACTTTCTTATGCTCCAGACTTGGTATCGGTTGAGAGACAGCCTTCTTGTCTAGATGTATTTGTCTTTGTTCATATTTTTGGCTCCTAGAAGTCTCTGGTTGATGAGCACGCTGTATTCTCTCCCATGCAGACTCCATTTCAACATGTGCGACATGGATCCAGGCCTTCCTGGTAGTTGATTATCTTTGACCGAATTTGATGATCCTACGTCATGAGAAAATTCATCTTCAATGCTGATTTGCAAACGAACTACCCAGGTGATCCATCCATGTCCCCGTCCTCCAGGGCTCCTGGGCTGGTGGTCATGACCTCGTATGCCATCTTGTGTCACCGGTCAGCTGGAGAAAGTAAGAGATTCAATTTACGCTCACTTGGATTAGGTATCTTATGTCCAGGAGGTACTTCAAATTGGCGCCATAACCTCGAGTGTGACATAGTTCCCCCGTCTAGTCTCGTTCACGTCAGCCTCTTTCTCCGTCCCTTTCAATGCTGGTATTGCTCTCTTCTTTTTCGACTGGTGTTATTTCTTCCAGTGAAAACAGCTATGGGTATGTCGGAGAGCCTATGTCACTCATATTCATCCAATCCACCTGAGGTGCGAAGATACGACTAGTTCCCGGGCCTACTTACGCGAATACACCTTTTTTCTATTTGTTCCCTGTTTGGCGCAGAGTTACTGAGTGCCCTCAATGGACGTAGTAAATCGGGCCGTTATGAAGGACGGCGGGCAATTAATCCTCAAGGCCAGTTGCGGCCAACCTGGGCCTTGGTTACATCGCAAGCAAGTATTCAGTTTGCTAGGCCCTCCATCATGCTGGGGTAGCAGAAGTATGGGCAGCCTCAAGGAAATCCGTACACTGATGTAGTTCGTTCTCTTGGACAGGATTAAGAACTTTACCGGACCCCGTAGGAGGACCGGTTGCGAGGATTCGTCAACAAAGCAGGTGGTACGAAATGTCAAACCCCCGAGGCAATGCTGTGAGTTTTGGTTTATCGCGCTCATGCTATGCCTTGATAGTACTATTAAAGTGGACTTCTCTCTCTACACAGAACTTGGCCAGGGTGGGAGGGGTTGACATGAGAAATAGATACGTACCTAATGTTTACTATGCCGGCTTAGCACTAGACATTCCTCCTACGTCATAACCACTGATTAATTATAGACTATGGTGTGTATAGATCAACTTATTATATTGAACCTCCTCTTTCTTCTACTGTTAATTCTCATGTTCATTCTGGAATCTGGCCCGTGAATGCTCATATGATATGGGCTTCAGATGTGTCATTTTGACTTCAAAGCTATGAAGATTGAGATATTCTGTGCATGAAACACTTGACTTATTACGATAGCCGATGGCCTCATACAACATAATGTCGGGTGTCACCTAAATGCAGCACCCTGCATTTCCAAGCTGGGAAGCTCGAAGCCCTGATACGCCCATTTATGCTTATCGCATGACTCATCCGATCTGCCTGAGATGAACTCGATAAGGCGATTCAGCTCTCGTGACACTTCTGAATGACTTGAGGGCTGTTTTCTCTTCTTGCTTCTGTTCACTTACTCTGTCCTTATTTCCCTGTCCATGATAACTCTATTAGCTCAATAGACTTAGAGTACACATCATCTCTCACCTTGTTTACATTGGATTCGCTTATCGCCCTTACCCCATACTTTGATGCCCCTACACCGGGAGTCACCACCCGAGGCTCTACTAAGCCATATTTACTGTCGAAACTGTTGAAGACCCCTCCTTCAATATACCATGTCTCCTCCGTTATTACAATACTTCCTTTCTGGGTCCCTTCCTGATCACTGTGAACCGACCTCGCCCTTCCTGACCGCTGTCTCCTCCCATCTCCACATCTGCATCCCCACTGCTCTCGCGGCGATCTCTTCCGTTCTCGGGACCCTCAGCATTGTCTCATGGCTCTTTGCACAATTACCCCAGATTTACAAGAACTTCCAAGTGCAATCGACATCAGGCTTATCCATATTCTTCTTGATAATCTGGTGTCTAGGTGATGCGAGCAACCTCGTTGGAGCGTTATACACCCGACAAGCAGGGTGGCAGGTGGTAATTGCCAGTTATTACGTCTTCGTTGATATCACTCTGGTCTTCCAATTCTTCTGGTACACCCATTACAAAGCTCGCCGAAATGATTCATATAGCAACCTGTCACACTCGCATGGCGCGGCTCCTCGGGACATCATTGAAGGGGTACCTCCTCCAGGCCATGAATCGGACCATCAGACCCCAGCTCCCGTAAACATGGACAAGAAGCGCTCCGAGGCCAAAGATGTGGGTGTACAGGCTGGCTCAGTACTCAACTCAGCCCATGGACAAACAGCCTCATCCTCAAACGAGAAATTGAGCTCCTCGCGTCGATCCGTGAGGATGAGCAGCAGCGCGCAGAGTCCTCCATTCGCACTACCCCGGACGATGCTCGTGGCATCACTCCTCTGTGCCGTACTCGCCAACGCTGCTCCCACCGATAAGCCTCATCCACCCATCTCTGAGGTACCGCGGGAGGCCATCGTTGAGATCATCGGCCGCGTCTTCTCCTGGATGTCAACAATTCTGTATCTCGGCTCGCGCCCTCCACAGCTATACAAGAATTACAAGCGCAAAAGCACCGAAGGTCTCTCCCCACTGCTCTTCATGGCTGCATTTTGTGGAAATCTGTTCTATTCCAGCTCGTTGCTCACCAACCCGAACGCTTGGTCCGACTTTTCTCCATACGGCGGCGGCGGGTGGGCCGATAACCACGGTAACGACCGCTTAGAGTGGATCGGACGTGCCACCCCGTTCTTCCTGGGTTCCTTTGGTGTCTTGGGACTGGATGGATTCATGGGCGTTCAGTTCCTCATGTATGGCGACGGTCCAGAGCACGAAGATGATGAGAGTTTCATCAGCGGTGATGGAGATGATCCAAAGCGCGGTCGTGGTCGCTGGAGACGTGTTCGCGGCTGGATGCGTGGTTGGATCCCCTCTTCGCCTCGGAGGGAATCAGGGGGGCTTCGGGCCCGCAAGAGGGACAGGCTCTTTTAGGTGCAGAGCGCGGCCGATACGGCACAGTCTGATCGAGGCTGTTTATATACAACTCTCTTCGTTTGTTTTCTGCCCTCGCCTCTTGCGCAGGGCAGGTATGATGTATATGATATGATGACTTCAAAGCTTTATTTTTCTCTCTTAGCATCTATTTTCCTGTTTTTTGTCATTTGTATGAATTGTGTGTGATTAAGTACATCACGCGTTCGCCTTCATTCGCTCTCTACCCGACTTGTGTCTTCTCGGCGTCTTCGGGACTGGACAGCATATATAAGGACTCAGTCTATACTCCGAGATCTCGGCCCACCGGCCTCAAGCAGCATCTCGGTCTCTATCAAGGCATCAACGGGCTCGTCTATTGCTACCAGCGGTCTGCTCGCTTCTTCTACCTCCTCAGTTGGTCATGCCAGCTCCGAGAAATTGATCGCTTCATCACACATCTCCTCAAACTCGCCAAGTAGCACCGCATGTGCTGTGACCTTGACAATCACAATCATCGAAACTGAATACCCCGCCTCTAGCCGTGCCAGTACGTCAGATATGACAACCTCTATGTTTTAACCACCCGCATTGCGACTACCACAGCCTGTTTCTCGACTGTCGATGACTGCCCAGCCACCGACAAGACGGCTCATACTATAACCGAGGCCATCGTCGTCTCGAGTATCACCCTCTGCCCTGTTAGAGACACAACGACCGCTACTTCGGTCCTTAACAACATCACCGTGGACACTAGGGTACCTAGCTCTAGCTCAGACGTCTCGACTGGTATCAATGCCGGTCACTCCTCCAGCCTACCCGGCATCAAAGGCACACGCATCTGCTCAGCCACGATCAAGTCTTCGCCCGTCGCAGCCTCCTCTTCTACTGCCAGCAGCAGCACATCAAATACATCCCCCGCGTTCAACGGTGCTTTGTCTTTCACTGTTTCCGGCGCTGCGTCTGCCCTTGGTGCCAGTGCGGCTCTCGCACTCTTCCTTTCGAGTATATGTCTATTTCCTTGGGTATCTTGGATACGGATGATGGATTTGAGCATTCGTTCTCCGAAGTAGAGTACAGGTTCATAATGAACATACATCCAGTAACGCTTCGTATCTGCCTTCCCGTAGAAGCTCATTTCAGCTTTCGAAGTCCCCAAAAAGACATGGAAAATCCGTCGCTGTACTTGACATAGCCCCATTCAATAGAAATCTTGCTTTTCTTATTCCATACTCTCACTGTCTGACTTTGTCCTTGTTGAGACATATTTGGAATTTTTGCAGACTAATGACACCCCTCTGCTTCTGCAGACTAATGTATATGCGCCTGTCTAATTGGTTGCCTCTCAACATCTTTTCATTGGCGGGCTTGCCACAGCCCATGTAGAGGCAGTGTGCTGAGTAGTGAAGCCTTCCAGCCTCTGAGATTTGTTTTCTCTGTCTCTCTGATCCAGGCATGACCTAGGCGCCTGACGTAATTGCGTAAAGGCTCACCTGGACATAACAGCATACTCAATCGTACTCGCAGACCGATCACCTATATCTCAGCTACATATGATATCGGCAAGAGAGCAACCCAAAACAAAGATAGCGAGAAACAAGAAATCATAGACCACGATCATGACTCATGCTATAGTTTTCCGATGGTTGTTCAGGCGAATCTTATATATATCCGGAGTACGTGTGTCTTATTCGCCTCCCCCTCAAATAAAAAGGAGGGGTGCTTTGCCCGAGTTTTCCCTTGCTTTACGGGGATTTAGGGAGGGGAACTCCAGTTTTGCAGTTTTCGTGGTCTTCGAATCATATGGTGCAGCTAGGAAATACGGAGATGTTTCAGAGAAAAAAAACCTGCCGAAAGTAGCCGGTCGGGCATCGTTGGTCCTATCCGGGGGGGTTTTGTTTTATTTCTTCTATTTTGCCTTTTCTGTAGAATTAGATCTTTATTGTATAGACTCGAACCATCACATTGGTAGTGCAAGGAATGTAGGCAGGTACTAAGATGTAGAGGTTGTGGTACCAAAGAATCGGAACATCGAAAATGGAGCATGGCAAGGCACGAGGTCCGAGGGACTTTGTTTTTTTTTAAGAATTTATTATGCACGGGCTTTGGGGGCCTTTTGAGTATTTAAGTATTAAAAGATTAATTTCTGAACTCTTAGACAAATAAGTCCAATATATGCGGGACTTTCTTTTTTGGCTCGATGTATGCGCCTTTTAAGCAGGTAGACACCTATATGTTATATATAGAGGGGGCTGTCAGTACAGATAAATACCTATCAAGGCAGTGTCTTTGCCTCTAGTACTCTGTATGTGTATGGAGTACTGGCTCTGCAGCATGACGCTACTGCAGGGATCAACATCCAGGTCCTTCGAGGGCGGATTTGTCTACGGTGAGTCAAAGCGGTCTCTACGTGGCCAGTTGAATGTTTGACATGTCAGAGCCAGAGAGAAAGGAGAGAATACAGAATACGGAGTACTTTGTACATATATTTTAAGATGTACTTTCAGATGCCTATTGCCCTTGGTTGTACGGGGTAATGGGCGCGTGTGATATGAAGTAAATGACCCGATAGCTGTAAGGTCTATAATGCCTAAACTTTGCAGGCTATTACATATTTGGACGATACAGAAAGAGACCGAGCATTGTAGCCTATGTACGTAGGGGGGTAGACTGAGTAACGGAAGGAATGCCAGGTAATTACAGATAGAAGTACGGAGTAGACTAGGAAATTTTCAGAGTCTATGAATAATATCGAAAAAGCCAATACACACGCAGTCAGAACCAGTGAGAACCAGTGAGAAAACCAGTGACACGGGCGTTGCATCACCGGATTTGCCTTGGGGGTCTAGGGCCTTTGGTATGGATGTTACAATACCATTTTGAGCACGTTCCAAACTGGGCTTGGATTTGAAAAAAAAAAAAAAAAAAAAAAGGGAAAAGGAAAAGGAGAAGTAGCAGTAAAGAAAATGACCTGAGAATTGGATATAATAGTAAATTCACATATCAGTCTTCAGTCTACAACATATGTATCTACCTAGGTACTCCGTACAGAGTAGAATCATCTCAAACACATATACGTAACACCTTTTTTTTAAATTTAGAATTTCCATATGTGGGCCTCCCTGTATACCAAATACTTGTAAAATTACCGGGGCAACCCAACGGCCTTTTCCCACACAACGCCCCCTATACACTTTTCTTCTCTTCATCCTTCTTCTCAACCTCTTTTTTTTCTCATCAATCTCCTGTGTCAACGAGCTTTTCACTAAGTGTCGTTGATCACCTCATCCTGTGAGGTTTGCGTCTACGTGTGGGAAAACTTTTTTTTTCCTTCCACTCTTCGTTCTCCGAGCGCGTTCAGTTCATCCTGCTACGTAGGCTCTTCCACTTCGCTTCGACCTGGTTATTCGCCTCTCAAGCACCGTGAATTGACTGGACTGTGATCGTATCACCTTCACTCCAAGCGAGGACTGTGCCTTCACCGTTCATCACGTTCCTTCCAACTCTCAGTCCCCTGTCACTTATCCCTTGGATCATTGAACGAACCTCGATGTCATTCAACTAGAGACTGCCCCTAGGAATACGACAGAGCGATCGGCTCGCCGAGCACCGCTCTTCTCTCCCTCCCCCCAGAATCAGGATCTGGCGGAGTAGACGGTTCGTATCCTCGTTTCTTCAAGTCTTGTCTCGGTCCATCTGGCTTTTGCCTACCCCGGAGGCCTTGTATACTAATTACCCCCTTTGCCTGGTAACAGAATACGTCTAGCTCCCCGTCCTGAACTGGCAACCTCCCCTCCCCTCAAGATGCCGTCCTTCTTCGTCCCAGGCCACCATGGCCTGCCTACGCCTCCCCATGTCAACGGTGGTCGTATGGAAGACCCATCATTCTACCCGGTTGGTCATGCAGGATTTCCTCCTCGCTACCACCAAAGCGGCAATGAGTTCATCGAACAGTACTCGCAGTCTCTGTGCTACGCCAAACCTACTTCGATGAATCACCACCAGTCCGCCCACCCGATGAGCACTGCTCGCGATCATCACATGATGAACCAGCAGCCCATGTTCAACCCCATGGTTGGCACTGGATTGCCCTCAATCCGCAGCAACGTCCAACTTCCGCCCATGGACGCTACGATCCCGCCTCAATATCGCCGACAAGAAGCCCCAATGCAACACCAGCCCGAACAGCCCCGCAAGGAGGAGAAAACTACTGGAGGTGTCGCAGCTCACCTGGATTATGAGATGGATCGCATGTCCGACTTTGTGGCAGAGATGGCTCAGGGAATGTATGATTTGTTCGAGACCAACATCACCATTGCAGATATTGACCTCGTGCGAAGCATCTACCCAGGATCTTCGGTTCCCCCCCCAGTTTCGGAAATACGTCTTTCAGATTTTGTCCTCGACACGCCTCCCGAGTTCGACCATTCTGCTCGGTCTCTTTTATCTCGCCAGCCGTGTGCGCCTGTTGTCAGCCCAACGCGCCTTCGCCAAGACAGACAGTAGCCAGGTCTATCGTATGTTGACTGTGGCCCTTCTGTTGGGCAGCAAGTTCCTTGATGACAACACCTTCCAGAACAAATCCTGGGCCGAAGTTAGCAACATTCCCGTTGCTGAGTTGAACCACATGGAATTGGAATGGCTCTTTGCCTTCGACTGGAAGATTCACGACCGCATCTACGACAAGCAGGATGGTTTCGCCTCGTGGCGCGCGCACTGGGATACATGGCGGGTCAAGGCAACAGCTCGGGCCCAGGAGACTCGCCAGACCCTGGCGCCTCTGGAGACCAACGTGGTCCGTGGCCAGGGTGTCACCAAGCCCCTTATGTCCCCCGAAGGCCCCATCCCGCCGCAGTACCAGCGCAGTTCACAAATTGAGAACTCCTGGCTCAACCCGACCGCGTCCGAATACTCGCCTCCCTCTGCCCTTTCTAGCGGCCCCACCACCCCCGATTATTACTCGGTTGGCCCCTGGGGATACGCTAACCCGCCTCCGCCTCCGCCCTACTCGCGAGGCTGGAACGCACCCTCACAGTATATGGCTCACCCCGCACCTCGATCCCAGCCCCCATCCTATCATCACACTCCGGCGTATGGCTTGCCATTCGCACAGAGTCTCTGGACGGGTCATGGTTCATCTTGTGGCTGCACCTACTGTGCCAAGCATCTCGAGCACTACATGTGCAACAATGCATTCCCCGCGATGCAGCAGCCGATGATCGCAGCCTAGTTGACGATTCTTGGCATGTTCTGTCCACCACCTTGGATGGACCAGACGGTGTCATCGGCTCAAGACTATGAGTCTTGCTGCCTGTCTTAAATTTCTTACTGCAACTCTAGACTTCTTTCAACGTTTGTTTGGGCGACTCGCATGGGATTTATTTCGATACCGTTTCCTCTGCTTGAATTGCTTCCAACCTTGGCACCTTTCGACCTTTTGTTTCCTTTAGCTTTCACCTGCTTCTGAGCAATTGGCCTACCGCGTCTCCAAAAAAAGTACTTTTGTTCTGCGTCCGCTGGTTCTCGTTTGGCAAAGCGAAAAAAAAACAAAAAATGGAAAAAAATGAGGAAAAACACTCCCACAACGGACATTGGCATGCTCCCGGCAAGCCCGCGGTGCAAGATCTCGACTCAACCGGTTATACTGGCATCACTTTGATTTCATCAAGGCTTACAGTCTCACCGTCGGGTCTTACATCTTTCCACACGTTGCCGGGGCCGCAGTCACGACTATCACGAATCCCCAAAATCTGACTTCTTTGTTTATTACCCACGACTTTGGTTTATGTCCTTGGTCCTTTTGTTTTATGCTCGGCATTTGTGTCTCGGTGATTACCCATAGAGTGCTTTCTTTCTTCTTTTTACTTTCATTTCATCTCGGTACATTATTCCTATTCGCCACGCTACATGCAGTGCCTGATGTTAATCTTGTTTTCACTTCTCATCTCATCTTTCAATTGTCCATTCACTTTTTTTTTTTTTTTTTTTTTCCCCCCCCCTCTCGATTCCTTCGACTTGTTCTTATTTTTCTCTGACGAGCCTTCTCCAATCAATAAGATCAACAATTCCAGGACTCCTGACCAACCAATCTAGGTTGGGTGTATTCAATCACTCCTACGTCTCTCACTTGTGGCAGATGGCAAACAATTGATCTTGAATCCCATTCTCCTCGTGACATCTTCGCATGGGTATCGGTGCCTTCAATGCATCTTCTATCTGATCTCATTCTGAGAGTCCGGTCAGTCCTCGCGATTGACATCTATGTAGTCTATCTGATTTGTCTTCTCTTTTGGCTTGCTTCGATATATGTGCCCTTTGCCATTCGGCGCTGCCGCCAAGCCAGGGCCGTCGCATTTTCTGTCTCCATTGGTCCTGCGCTAGCCTGGCTTTGAGTCCGTGGCTGTGGCTGTTGATAAGCAAATTTGTTGAAGATATCTTATCTAATTAGCGACAAACTAGGTATTGTCTTTGTCCGGGCTACAAATCTTTGGTGTTCTCTCGTAGGGCTTGTGTCAATATCTCCATCGGATTCCCTGTTTAAGTAGTGAGTCTTTGCCTTTGTCCGCTTGTATACGCTATATCGACATCCGGGGCTGTGTGAGGATCCCCCTTTGGATCTTGTTTAGGTGTGGTTTAATAATGAACCAAGGGCGAGATCTTCTCGTAATCTTTTTGATGGAATTGAGTCTAGCCTAACACTAAAAAAAGCTGCCAGGCTGAAAGAAAATATAGGTAAAAATGAAGTTATACTAGTGGGTAATCAAAATTCATCCAGACAGTCGTTGCGGGTCGTAAGGGTAGATATAGAGATGCAAACAAAAACTTGTGAAGGAGGCAGACGTATAAAGTAGTCTAGGCATCAGCAAAAATATAACCGGAACAGAATCAATAGACGCTCCCTTGAATGCTCTGATCATGCTTTTGACGCTCCTCTAAGGATAATTCCTCGATGTGGAGATGAGATGGGGAATCCGTTGATGAACTTTCTGATCTTTGCACCTGTGATTCTGAGTGGTTGGACGACTCGTCTCCATCGCCTAGGATATTGGCCATGGCCACTGGGTGCTCAGATTGGTCGGTGGAAGAAGAGACATGGTGATGATGATAGTGGTGATGGTGGTGGTGTAGGCGAATTTTCTTCAATTTTTCAGTGGGATTGCCGCTCATCTCGTCATCGCCATCATCTTCGAGCTCCTGAGAGGGAAGTGGCCGTTGGCTTTTCTCGCTGGACGGGAATTCGAAGTGCTGCTGGTTCGCTTGAGACAAAGTGCCGGTGGCGAGGTTGGAGGAGGTTGATGCAGCGTGACGGTGGTGATCGTGATAATCGCCTTCGTCGTCGGATGGGGCAAGGCTATTTGCTCCACTCATGGAGCCTCCACCGTCACGGCCGCCGAGGTGGAGGAGGGCGTATTTTAGGTGCGCCGATGCTGAAGATGTAGCTGTTGGTTGGTGGGGGAGTTGGTCTTCGCTTTTTCGGTTCAATCCGTGGAAGTTCGGCCGTTTTGGATGCAATGGATTCACATTTGGCCGGGCTTCTGAGCTAGAATCGTGTTGCTTCGTGGTGTTTCCGTTTTCATCGTCGGAAACTGTGTGGTGTGGGTTGGAGACATGTCGAGCGTCGGATTTGCGGCTGGGATCATTCTGTACCACACTCTCTTCTGAGGATGATATCACCTCGTCGATGGATATAGATTTTTGAAGTTTGGAGCCAAAACTACCTGCATGGTCATCCGCATGCTTTGCTTGAGCATAAGCATGTTCGTGACGCATGGAATTCAATAGATTTGCTCGCAAAGATTGTTTTCCATCCACAGTCATGCCGTGAGTGCAGCCGTCGGGACAGCCACCCCACTTGCGCCGAATTGGGATATGGTCTGTGAGGCCGACATGACCAGCAGAAGGAGTGGGCGCGGGGACCTGCTCTTTGGATGCATTTTCACGATCTCGATCTTTTCGAAGATCTGACCAGGTACGAAGCTTGTTCTGTAGTGTGTATTTTCCATTCTCTGGGTTGTGGGTCAAGATCAGGAACTCGCAATGATTGATGTTGCGAAGGTCCTCAAAGTATTCCACGCTCCAGTGATACCATTTCATGAGGAATACTCTTGCCATGAGGCCGTGCGTAACAAGGACACAGACATTTGCAAAGTCGTCCTCGCCGAACTGGCGCCAGAGGGACTCATTAAACCCACTCACTCGGTCATAGGCATCTGCTGCAGATTCGCCATTGGGAATCCGGTAGAAGAAATGACCATAGTCTGCCCGCTCCATCCACATGCGCTCCATCTCTGTGGAACATGGCTGGAAGTTACCAAAATCTTGTTCTCGCAGCCTGGGTTCTTCATAAACTTTGATAGTGTGTCTGGGGAAAGGTGAAGGAGAGGGTGTATCGGAGGTTAGGGATTCAATAATTCCCTCGGTAGTCTCTCTTGTCCGCCGATACGGGGAGGTAAAGAAGTGAAGTTTATCGTCGGGTTGGAGGAGGTCACGTAGTCGACGGCCTGCCTCTTGGGCTTGTCGATGTCCTTCAGCAGTGAGCTTCACACGGTGGTCTGGAATAGTTTGGTGGATATCGCGGTTTTTGTTGCCTTCTGACTGTGCATGGCGCACTAGAATGATCATCTATCAGTAGGAAAAGGGTCAGTATAAGTTAACACATCCCAATATCTCGAAAATCGAGACTCACCCGTGGCTTCCCCATGGTGGAAGGGTCATGGGGAATGTAATGGGTTGCGAATGCGGGGGAGGGGCTAGTATGATGATTCTATTTGCAGCATGAAGGATGAGGTGAAGACCAAAGAAGAAGAATCAATGAAAGTAGCCGTGATGATCGAGATAATCAATCTATCTATAGCGGAACGGTCTGGAAGAGAGAAGTCAAAGTAAAGAAAAAAGTTCATTCCAGTCGGAGATACAACTGACCCGCACGGGCCAACGGGGTGATCCATTCAGCGCTCCTTTACTCCGTACGCAACTTCAGAATAGCATCAACTCGCCATGGCCGATCTGCTGGAGCTACTCGCTCCACATCTAGATCCAACTCAATCGCATGATGTAACTACCGACAGATATCTCACTCGCCTCTCAACCTTGTCGCTCGAAGCTCTCCAGACCACAGAACCCCCATCGCTTGCCCAATCCTCCCACTCAACCCTTCTCTCCCTTCAAGCCTTATCGAACCGTTCGCACCGGGCATTTGTCACCTCTGCCGATAATTTGTCCACACTCTGTACATCTGTGCCACAGTTGACCCGCGAGGCCCAACAACTACGCGATGCTATCCCTAAACTCGACGAGGAGGCCGTTGGGTTTTCCACCAAATACAGTAAAATCACAGACAACGCCGCACTAGAACGACGGAAAAAAGCGATGCAACTCTCTCGCAATGTCGACCGATTGTCAGATATCTTGGAACTACCAAGTCTGCTGTCCAAAGCCGTCTCCGCGGCCTCAGTCAATTCTGGTACCGGTGTCTCCTCTACGACGTACTCCTCTGCACTCGACCTGCATGCACATATCAAGCGATTACAAACATTATACCCCGAATCACCATTGATTCAAGATGTTGCGTCCCAGGCGGAGGATGCTATGAAAGACATGACAAGTAATTTGATCACGGGGCTCCGAGCCCAGAACCTGCGGCTGGCAGCTGGTATCCGAACTGTGGGCTGGCTGCGGCGAGTGGCCCATGATTTAGAGATGCTCCAGAGTGATGGGGCAGTTGGGACTGGAGAAGGCGCTCTTGGGGCCATCTTCCTGGTCTGCAGACTAGCGCATTTGGTATCGACCCTTGAAGCGCTGGATCCCCTCCGCGAGCTCGCAGACCAAGAAACCCAACGGAGACTCGGCGGCAAGGACAAGTCAGAAACGACCGCGTGGTCCGGCGGTCAGCAGACTGATCGCTACTTAAAAAGATACATTGAGATCTTCCGTGAGCAGAGCTTTGCAATTGTCTCTCTATACAAGAATATCTTTAACTCCGAGCAATCCGAATCCGAATTTGCCATCTCAGGATTACGAGGTGCAGACACCCACTCCAAAGCCAAGTCGAAACCAGCACACTCAGACGATCCCTTGCAACGCCTACCTCCGGCTTTAGCTACTTTCCCGATGCATCTTGTGCAGTTGCTCACCGATACAATGCGCTCCTACTTACCCAACGTGCGAGATCGAAGTTCAAGGGAAAGTCTGCTCACCCAGCTTCTGTACTGCGCCACAAGTCTTGGTCGTCTTGGCGGTGACTTTGGCATGATTTTGACTGAGCTGAGTGGGGAGGAAGATACTGAAGATATGACCTACGAATGGGAGGAGGTCATGCGCAAACATCGAGCCTTGGCAGGGCGTCTGGAGCAATTGACCAGTCGGGTGCCAGTGAATTAACATCCATATACCCAAGTACCATGTCATTTCGAGATGACAGTGGCATCTGGTGGAGCCTGTGTATAGTAGAACTCTCGGCGGACTATTTAATTGATACTACCCACACACAAATACATCCAGACGTTATATAATTCATTTTTACCAAGGTTCCAGGTATGCTAGCAATACTTTATTGTCGACTTCCCTGAACACGGTACGGTACTCTGGCCCAGCGCATGCACCGACGGTGGAGTGACATATATCGTTGAGGTCTCCGATCGATTCATTATGATATTTTACAACATAAGGAAACAGAGATCTCAGAAATATGTGGAGTTGAAACCCATTGAAACATTCGACAATGAAAGACAATGAACTGCAGCAAAAGAATTGTATGCCGGAGGCCCATAGCACACAGCAATCTGTGGGTTTCCGTGATTTGATATCTGAAACTATCGTATCATACCAGACTATATACCTATGGATGCTATAAGGCGGTGATAAAGGAGGTGATGAGGTGGTAAGCAACGTTGGATTGAAAGATTCATATGCCCCGAGGGTGGCATAGTCGCCCATGGGCCATGGGCCATACTGAGCCACTTTGGGTGGGTTCCGGTATGAGTTCGGGCAATACTTGCACGAAATGGGAGCGACATTGGAGCAAGAAGGGGTCGGTAATCAGGTAAGAGGTTGAACCTTGGAGGATCACAAAATACGTACTTATCTAGAGGGTAACATGAGAATTAGCCTTGCCCACAGTGGTTAGCCCCTGGAGCTCCATTTGCCGAGTGACTCACAACAACCTCACTCTTGAAAAGTGTCACTGAAATGCAAGCCTATATAATTTGAACATCTGGAATAGGTGTATGTTTTTCAGTCGAGACTCTCATAACTGATTTCAAGTTTGTTCGTTATGGTCCACTATAACCCGCACACCAAAGAGCCCTATCTCCAACTCCCAGCACCATGTGCAAACATCATCATCACACCACACCGGGAACACCAGATTGAGGAGACATCTACCGTGATGACCGAGCTTCTTAATGATTCACGCATATATTCCTGGCTACAGGGGCCACCCTACCCGTTTCTGCATGAGCACGGCGTGAACTGGGTCAAGATGAAAATAGCAGAGTACAAAGATATCTTGTCTACTCTGCAAAAGGAATTCGAAGACTCAGAGAGCCAATTGCAGGGTCATAGTCCAAACGACCAAAAGCAGGCAGAGTTCTTCGATAAATGCCCTTTCGTTTGCATACGTGAAGTAACAAAAAGAGATCCCACGACAGGCACTCCGCTTCAAGATGTCATGATCGGAGACTTCACACTAGGGCGATATTCTTTCTATGAGTTCCGACCCGACAGCTGGGAACTTGCGCTAGTGCAGAAGCATAATAACGATTTGCCTGCGGGGCACGAGGATATCATCTGGGGGTTAGGATGTACGGACACCCCGGTGGGACTCGAGAGTAATTGCTGACAACATTGATAGACTACCTTTCTCCCGCTCAACACAGCCGAGGACTTATGAGTGCTGCTGTTCAAACTATCCTTCAGGACTGGGCTATCCCTAGGATGAATCTTCATCGTCTCAAAGGTAGCTTTTATGTCGGGAACATAGGGAGCATGAGAGTCTTTGAGAAAAACAATTTTGTGGAGGCTGGTGTATTCAAGGACTGGGCTCCAGCAAGCCCAAACAAGGGACAAGGGAAGAAGTCGATTGCTGTGATGGAGTGGAAGGGACTTTTATAGGTACTACCTAGCAACATTTGCTCAAAAAAAAAAAAGACGTTCAAGACTCACCTGAGCAGTCGTTCCATGTTGAAATTGCTAGATAATATAGAGTACCCCGTACCACTTAATATGTGCCAATGGCAACCTCACAGGGTAGGACAGAAAAATCGAGCATTGCAGTCTCAATCAATAGTTACATGATCTTTGCCGATCTTAATATCACGCAGGCATCAACCTAAAAGGAGAAAATAAGTAATGCTTCAGCGGGGCTTGAAATTACTCCGCATACTTCAAGGACGAACACAGGACTTTAGTACACCATAATCCCTACGACAAAATGGGGATCGCAGTCCTGCATGTGTTGTGGGAAAACGGCATATCGAGTTGATGCTCTGAGTGAGCCCCTTTCTTATATTGGTCAGCGTTGAGTTGCTCACCAATAAGTAAGCTCGGCAAAATTGAATCTACTCCCTTACTTCGTACTCCAGATATTGGACGGAGTACCTACGGAGTATTCCTTGGAGAATTGCAGACTTGTCACACGACTAAATCCACTTTGTATTTATTGGCCAGGTTCTACATACTTAATCTCAGTTTTCAGCTGAAGGAAATTGTTCACCAAGTGGGTCTCGAATCCCATGAAAAGATCTGTTGGATGCATCTACAATTTACGGAGGAGATCGCAAACTACTCCGTATTATTGATTGCTTTATACTACCCCATCCGCCAACCCTCCTAGTTGCTGAAAATAATACTAGCAAAATAAAGCGAACCAATGGTTTCTGTGCCTGATACGAGCTCAGCTAACACAACTGGCTTCTGCGCCCAATGCTTTATAGAATTACCAGAATTTTACTGAAATCCGCTCTCATATAAGCAGGGATTGAATTGAAATTTGTCTACTCCTCACGGAGTGCTCCGTGGAGTATCCAGAGCTCAAATTGAGGATTCGACGTTTCATTACATACCATTTACTTCCATCTTGAACACTGAACATACTGTAGGCCATTCCATTCAACCTTGTATGTAGCACTCTGTACTCCGTACACAGTGCTGCACTGTGAGGATGATAAGCCGGACATTCCAGAAATTTCAGCCAACAAATGAAGTAATGCTAGGGTAGAGTAATCAGGCGAGGGATGCTGGGAGCCGATAGGAACGAAGCCCAAAAAGGCGCGTGGCTAGTCTCATGGAGGGACATCGCAGGGCAGGCCCACCTAGGTACATACTTAGTATATCTTACGTGCATGATTTGAATAGTGCTGTAGATCGTGGGATTGAAAGGTCAATACTCCTTGGCACTTTCAAATATATTAATATATAAATGAGTCTGTTCCTCTCTTCAGCCAACTCCGACACAGAGCTTACCGGTGTACATTTCCTATTCACCATGCGTCTATTAACTATAAGCCTGTTTCTTTCGGTTGCTATAGCAGATGCCACATCCTTCGTCACTCCTAATAGACATCGCACAAAAAAGGTCAGTAGTCCGAATATGGCTTTATTTTATATCCCAAGTTATATAAGTGTCAATGCTCATACTTCCTAGGAGCCGGACTACCCTAAAAGATGCTACCCCAATCCTTGTAAAGGCGTGACTTACGTGAACTCGACCGCAATTTGCGGTGACCCACGACTCGGTCCGAAAGAGCTTCCTGGATTCTTCCCTCTCTCCAACGAACTCGAGACATACGCCCGCTTTGGCGAGCTCTGCCCGATCGAGTTCCTGGAGAAATGGACTTTGAACGCTTCCGACCCAAAGGGTTACTGGATCTATCCAAACAGCGACGGTTTCGCCGTCACATCCGAAAATGAGTCTATTCTGGGCAATTTTACACTGCGCGTGGGTCAGAAGCTTGATAGATTCGGGTCTGAATATGGGAAGTTCCTGGCCCCTCTTGGAGCTCCATATATCGAACGCTCACTGCCACCATCCAATCTTTTCGCGCCTCCCAAAAGCAGCTTCCCCTACAACTATCATGTCTACGAAGTAACAAAGGAATTTGATATTCTCTTGGGACCCATTGCACCTTGGTTTGAACAGCCTGGCTTTGGATCGCAGCTTTTGGCTCAGTCCAGTGTGATGGATCTGTTGAATGGGGGATATTTGAAAAGACTGGAATTGCAAGACTATGACGAAGCTGATGAGTACTCCGCGGGTTATCTGCCTGCTCCACCCAAGGAGTCTTCCAAATAAGTACGAATTGTGGATATATATCACAGAGCAAGACGGGGTATTGTTTTCTGGGGCATTTAGTTCTCTTTCTTACAGTATGTGCTATCTATATCTTGAATCGCCAAATGCAATGCCTGCCAACCTTTGAGCGTTCATGCTTTGTGACTCTATGGAAAAGCTGATTTGAGCGAAAGGTCTCCAGTTTTGAAAATGACATGGAAGATAGTTATTTATCAAAAGCGGGACAACAAACCGAATTAGGGTAAATTGATCAGATACAATGACGAAGGGTACAAATCTATTCTATGCGCCTATCTCCCAACCTCAGAATGGTATGGCATTACTGATCTTCTGATTTAGCTTGACAGGGAATCCCAGCATGCTACTGTTTGTTAGTCTGGGTATCAAAAAGCAGGACAGCAGGACATACTCCTTTCCAGTTTGAGTGCAACCGCAACCACAGAAGATTGATAGGGGGTAACAGAAGATCTAAAAAGTGGTTGTCATGAGCCTAATATCAAGCAGGAGAATTTTCATGCTCTCGCTCGAGAAGATATTATGTTTACTTACCGCAGCCACAACGGTGGTGAAGAACCCTGTTCATTTTATCAGACATGGTCTCATATTTCGGCAATCACACTGCAAAAGAATTGAACTTACCGAGTGTCGGGCCAACCACCTTACAGTGACATGGATTCTGATCAGTGCCGCATTGGAAGCAGATAGGGAAGATAGGAATGAAAGGCATATCACACATCGTCTTTGGCTAAGGGTCTTGAACTAGAAAATGTGGACAATTTTTCCAACCTGCATTCATATATGTTATATGTAGGTTCCTTGAAAGAACGAGCTGTCCTGAATAGAGAATTCACCGCTCAGTCACGTTGTAGTCGGAAGTTTGGGATTCTATAATGATGACGCAGATGAGATCGTGATCCACCGATCGTCCTGTTTTAGGTAGTAGTGGGGAGATTTAGTCCGAGAGTATCCAAGATGATCTTCATCACGAAGATAACGTATATCAAACCCGTCCAGAATACTTGGTACAATAATCCTGAATGTCCGTACTTCAGATGGGTCCTGATATTAACCTCAAAACGCCCCCAGGGACCGGGCCGGGGCCTCCCGATCCAAATTACTCAGCAGGTGGCTAAGGGAAGAAGCCACGACACAGCCACGATGTACACCAGTTTCCCCTCGAATCAGACGTCAGTCTCAACTGTAAATGACCCCGTTGAAACATCTCAAGCCCCTTATTCTCACACCTCATATTCAGCCATCCCCTCGGAATTTCAGCATTCCTGTGCGTCCAGATCCACTCCCAGGCAACAGTGCCTAGAAAAGACCAGGCTCCAACTATTTCGCGACCTATATTCTTGGCATCTAGTTCATTGTTTTTTCCCGCGCCGTCTTCTTCTCTTGATACCACCCGCCCTAGTCTTTGGATCTTCGCCTTGTTTTTCCTAAATTCGAACATCTCGATTCTACAGACTTATCCTCCTCCGGTATCGCGATAAACAAACCCCACCATGGGCGCCCGCAATCTCGTTCCCCTCATCCTGCTCCTCGTCTTTGTTGGCATCGTTGCCGCGGTCGGATTCGTCGTCTACAGCATCGTGCAAGATGTAGGCAAAAATACGCGCGAAAAGATGGAGCGCAAGAATATTGCTTTCACCAGGGACGGCATGAAAGTGCAAGTAAGGGAGATCAAAGATGAGGCCTACAAGGACCAGACCCAGAGGTGAGTTTTGTGTTCTCCACTTCCATTGCTTATCACCGCCAACTGACCCGATGTTTTTCTCTCAGCGTCCTGTACAACATGTGGAACCACACTTCTTTCCCCGCTTACAAGAGTCGGCTGTGGGATATGGCTGGCTCATCTTCGTCGGAGCCAAAGAAGGGCGCCGAGAAGCGCAAGTAGTATGCCGGACCTGCATCTCTATCTATTCTCCCGGTTCGATCGGACCGACTCGTTCTGCGCCGGGTTTTGCAACAATTCTCCGGTCGCGGTTTTACACTGGACATATTTTCTACTTCTATCCCCATTTCATCTACAAGTTTCATTGCATGCTCTAGTCCCTGGTAAAGGGCTGGTCCCCAAAAATTGCGTGCACCTCGGTTTCGAGGGATGGGTTTCTTTCAAATTTCCACATTCTTGTTCATACCTTTTTTGATCTGTGGTCTCGTTAAAGGCCTTACGAATGATGGCAGGCCCTGATATATGATCTTACTTTCAATTTCAAACCTGCAAGCGCTATGCATCATACATTCAAATTCAGTTTCGTAAATCAACATGTGGCGCCAATTTTGACTTTGCTTTGAGATTACGCCTGGGCTGAGTTGTTTAGTGTACTGCGTATTGGAAACAATCAAGCGTTTTGAGTTGACATCAATGGACTATATTGAACTCATATGGCCCTGGAAATAGATGCACTAGGCATTGTTCCGATATAGCAACCTTCTATCCTCACCCATCATGCCTTAGCCTGAGCATTGCGAAGTGCATAGTAGCTCTCATCTTGATTCAATAGGACGAACGGTTCAGGTTCCGGCTGTCCACTACCGCCATACCAGGTCGGTTTGGCCAACTTCTTGTGTGTATCGTCTCGTTGTTTGTTGGTGAAAGCCATTTCAAAGGTCTTGGCCCACTGCAACCTGTTTTTCAAGCCCTCAAGTCCCCACAGCTCCTGCAGGAAATGCAAGATTGAACTATGAGTATATGCCGAATTTTCGGCGTACATAGTGCCTTGATCGTGGATGAGGAGGTTGGCGGGTACCCAAGGTGAGAGTATGAAGGCAGGGACGCTGTAATAAAAGGTTAAGCCAAATATCCATGGCACCAGAACTAAAATCGAGATTAAGAAGCTTACTGGACCCCCATACGTGTGAAATCATACGGAAAATTGTGATTTGATGACATGCCTTTGAAGATGATACCATCTTCGGGTTGAGTCACGTTGAATGGAGTGGGGACATGGTCAACAAACCCGCCATGCTCATCAAAGTTGATGATCAGAACACTGTTATACGAGTTTTAGTATTGCCGCACTTAGCATGGGGAGAAGGGAACGGAACTGCCGCATTGTCACAGTACTTGGAGCGACGTAGGGCGTCGTACAAGTGCTTGACCATCTGCTCCCCTGCTGCCATGTTGCTCGTAGGATACATCGAGTCAACTGTACAGCATTCCGGATTTAGATACGAGAATGAAGGCAGTGTGCCATCTTCCAGATCATGGTAGAGCTCGGTTGCATGAACGAGACGGTCCATTGCGTTATCTTGAACTCACTTGATATCATCATTAGCCACCGAGCTGACACTTGGGTGGATAAAGGGAGTGACTGACTTTATACATGAATCCATCGATTATGTCTGTCTCATAATACTATATAGAAATATTCAGTCGGTGTTAGCATAAAGGAATGAGACTTATCTCACATTTTTCCAGCTGACATTTTTCTTGCTGAGCGGTTCAAAGATTGACACTGCACAGGTAATTCCAGTCACATTGATCCAGAAGCCAGCGGACTGATGAGTGTTGTCAACGAAGCCACATGTTGAGCCCGATGTTGCGAATTGGCAAGGATGACCCACGTATGAATCAAAGAAGGCAAATTTACTTGCCAATTCAGCCAGGGTTGAAGTCTTCTTCTGGTTCAAGGCCTGAATCACGAATCTCCCGGGGTAGCATTGTACTTCTCCGATTGGCGTTCAATAAAGCCTGCCATATTGGGAATATCCTCTTTCGTCGGGCTCCACTGGCGGAAGATTTCGTAGGTGACCCCGCCGAAGTTGTGGTCCGGGTCTTGGGGTGGCACCTCTGTTGCATACGGCTCGGCGCAGATAGCGAGCGGCTCCCCATAGACAGTCCAATTAGGGTTGGTGTAGTCATTACAATAGGTGAGATTGCGCAAATTGTCAATGTCTGGATGGAAGCCCCAATAGCCGGCGATGTTGTCAAAGGAGTGGTTCTCAAGAATCAGATAAATGACATGCTTGATTTGAGATTGCTCTTATGAGATGTTTAGTCTTTGAGAAGTATAGATGCTGTGCGGTATACTCACGTTCTCTCACAGCTGACCCCACACCTGAGTACCCCTAGTTGGATGAGTAATTGCAATATTGGCCAGAGCCAGCAGAATCAAGCCCCAGAAGAGAATCATAGTGACTTTTGTTCAACGACAGAGCAAGGAATAGGAAAAAAGAGATGTGGTGGAAGCAAATATGGTTTCAACTATCTTCTTGCCATCCCTAATCTTCTACATCTATCTGTATCGTGGGCAGATTGCCGTCGAGAAAACTTGGAGGGTGAAGGCCATGCTCAGCAGGGTATTAGTGTCATGGATTCAGCACCTCGCAATCTAAATTCTAGGGTTGTAATTCCTACCCTTGAGATTAAGAGCTAAGAGCTGTGATACCTATGTAAGTAGCCCACGTGGTGAAAGAGGGATGAGAATCCTCCAGAATTGGAAGTACAAGCGAGGTGACTAAGCTGTATATAGTGCCTAGGTCTCGAGATTAAACCCCCTCTTGCCAACGGGCATTTATACACGTGAGCGGGACAAAGGAGCGATTGCAAATGACAGTTGCTGATTGGTTGGAGAGCTCAAGTCAAGCACCGGGAGTCCCTCAACGAGCATCCACCTGGATCCACATTGAACTTGGCCCTCGAATCAGCGTTGCACGTGCCCTGTGCATGGGCTGTAATGCCAAGCACGTTGTCTTCCTGATTCATTCGATAGGCTGTGCGGAAAGAAAATGGGAGAGATCACCTTCTTTGTCAAAAGGCCGGGGGAAAAAAAAGGCTCATGACTTCACCGCGTGATCTGACTGGCTAGTTCCGCATCCCTCGCTTTCACTTAAACATTCCCCCAAGTTCCTTTCAAGGGATGCAAGGTTTCAATTTCTCCCGCCATGTCAATAAGTTCCCTGACCGGCCTCATGTCAAGTTATATGCCACTCTCCGATCGCAGCTCATCTTCGGATGAGAAGGATCATTCTCAACTTCGACCGGATGTCGAGACAGGAAAGAACACAGACAGTCATGACTCGGAGCGAAGACCTTCCCGCTTCATCGACGGTCGCACCGTATCCGATGCCATCATCGGTCTTTCTGACGGCATGACGGTGCCTTTTGCCCTGACTGCTGGATTGTCTGCACTGGGCGATACCAAAATTGTTGTTTTTGGTGGACTCGCAGAACTCATCGCAGGAGCTATATCGATGGGACTCGGTGGATACCTGGGTGCTAAAAGCGAGGAGTACGCCTACCTAGATCCCGAAACCTATCTCTTATCAGAATACGGCGTATGCTAGGAGATATTCTGAGGATTTGAGAGCTGACATGCTTATAGGGAGTCATACAAAGCTACTTTAAAAGAAACTCAGACGCAAACCATGACGGATCCCGCATCTGTGTCTGACACCATCTCCGACATTTTCGAGCCCTATGAGTTGCCTTCTGAGCTGATCGCACAACTCAAAAATCATCTGTCCGACTCTCCTAAGCTTCCATCCTTCCTCATGAACTTCCACCACACTCTACCCGAACCTTCAGGCTCGCGAGCGATTATTTGTGCTTTAACCATTGCCCTGGGATACTTCATCGGCGGATTTATTCCTCTCATACCATACTTTTTTGTCGGACCTCATGAAGCCTTCGTTGCCTTGCGGTGGTCTATTGCTACCATGGTCATTGCGCTCTTTATCTTCGGATATGTAAAGACTTGCTTTGTCAGTGGATGGCGCGGTCGTCGAAATGTCCGCAAGGGTCTCATTGGTGGTATACAGATGGTACTGGTTGGTGGCATCGCCGCTGGTTCTGCAATGGGGTTGGTGAAGGGCTTCCAGATGCTGGCCGATGGGCCTGAAGACAACAAACATAACTGAATGACCATCGGAGTCTTTTTATTGTCACACGGTTTTGGCGCTGAGCGGCTTTTTATTTTTCTTGATTTGCGGCGATACATTGGCTGGCGTTTGGGTTTATGTCCTCTTGATTTACAAACCATCGAAATAAAGCAGGATGAGGACTTTGACTCGGTCACTTAATTGCTACTTACCTTCTAGTCAATGATTCTAGTAACAGTAAAGCGGTCAGTGACACTGGTATCTTTCTTCACCATGATATTGTCAGTCCCAGCATCGAGAGCAAAAACCGGTCCCTGCATGGCACAAAAGTTTCTCAGCCACCAGAGGAGAGCGAAGGAGAATGCATCCTATGCCAGTCCTTCCTGCTTCCCATGAAGCAGGCTCTTCTGCTTCTTGTAACTCGCGTCTTTGCTGTTCACAATCCCTTCTTTTTCTAGTGCCTCCAGAAGATCAAGCACGTAGTCCTGGCAATTCCAGCCCCGAATCTCATTGTGAACAGTGACCTGACTCGCGACACTCTCGATGGAGTCGATTTTGGCGACATCCACATCATACAAGGGAAGCAACTCCACCAGTTTTTCTGATTGTCGAACATCTGTTGTTTCCAGCTCATAGCGGAATCGGCCATCTGATCCCGCCACTTGGAGCAACACTTTGTCATCTTTCCGGGGTGCATCAATGAAAATGCCCCAGTGTTTGTAAACGCCATCGCTGGTGCTGATGGCAGCATAGATTGAAACCGTCGACGACATATTGAATACAATATTGGGGAGGTGATGCTGTGAGATTTTAGAGATTTACGTGAAAGCAACAACTCTTAGCTGTACATACTCTGATGGGGAACGGTTAGTGGATATGAGGCTTTGAACTGAATCGAAAAAGAAGGTGGTGATTGCGGTCAGAACATATATATCAAAATCTTTTTATACACAGCCCACTCTTTGGATAAGCGCCGGGCATAAGGTACAAGCATTTCGCATTATCCTTCTATTCTTGTGGCGGCGGCATAGCCAATAAGTGGCCAGAGAAGCGCTCAGCCGAAAGAGGTAATTAGGTCGTAAATGCCAGCGCATATAGCGAGTCAATGCTTGGAACAGCACACGACCACGAGAGTGCAAACTCACTTCTTTTCATCTTTTTGTGTTGAAGGACGTTGTCATCTACTGTATGTATACTTCCCCTGGTGGTCCGATAAATCGATCGACTATATGAAAGCCTTGTGTCAACCTACAAATATGGCCCCCTGGGCCCTAAACAGGAACGTTGATTTTCGTAAAACACACTGTATTTTGTCGAACAGCTTGTCCTGGGCTCCAGGCTTCTCGCGGGTTTGAATTGTATGAGTGGCCACTTTGTATAGCAACACAGGCGGGCTCGGTAAATGGAAGACTTTGAAAGTCCAAAAGATCTGAAACATATTCGTAGCAAGAGAGTTTTTCTATTGCATATGTTACACATTATACACTTCTCAGGAACAATATTGCCGTGTAAGCCGTTGATAATCAAACACTATATATATGTATTAGCTAGGAATCGAAGACTCTGGCCTGTTCGAATATTTGAAGCACGAGTCAATCAAACAATAAGGTCACGATGGGCTTGACATGAAGTATATCATCTGAGAAGAACCAGGTACTATTCTTGTCAAAACAGCATCGTCATCGAAGCGCCTAGGTTGCATTTATGAAGAATGTGGAAGGCACATGGGCAAAACGTATGTAGTCATACCACACTGGCCGCATCGGGTTTGCGGGGATGTAAGGCGATAGCCTGGTAGGATCGACGACGCAGAAACGTCGATCATGGTGTTATCTATCAAATGAGCACAGGCATATCAACGGAAATTGATTACTGTGGAAGCTCATTCACATGTGTGTGTAATGTCAGCCAATGTGATGCCAAGGGCGCAAAACGAATTTCGTATATCACAAGCAAAGAGTTAGGCAGTGACCTCAACGAGTATTCACAGAATAAGTATTAAGTAACCTATAAATATCTTACATTCTCGACCTACATTCAAAACCTGATGAGGTTAAGGCAAATTAAACCCGTTATATTACAGCTTGACTTCATATCTGTGGCGCAGCTCTACACATCAGCCTTGCATCATTTCTAAGCTTGAACCCACCCCTAGGCAGCCGCCCCCAGACACGAATACGAACGTATTCGAATACTCCGTACATTATTTGTAATTTCGGGATATCTAGGCAACGGAATTATAATAGAACTCAACATGTGTTACCCCGTACAAATTGTGGAGTAACGATTGCCTATATGGTAAAATGCCCAGGGAGCTTTGACGCTGGATTGAAGATGTTAAGAGGTGATTGGCTGCCGTCGCGCGACATTCGAATCCTGAAACGCATGTGTACCATTCACTAGGTGTGGAAAGTATATACAATCACAGCTGTGCCGTCTTTCTTACGGCAGAGAGATCCTAGACACTGGTTGTTGCTTAAATCAGGAGGCTGGCTATCCCCTGACAAGGTGTTCCGTTATCCCCTGAAGGCATTATTATTAGGTGATAGCCTGCACATCCTCATCTACGCGCTGGCCCCATGCAAAACGGCCCTAGTGTGACGTTTCCTCCTAACCGGTTTAGACTTGTCAAACCGGGACTGTTGATCGTATATGGCTCCTGAGTCTTCTACTATGGAGTACGGAGTATGAAATGCGGTATCATCTAGACGTTGACCGTTGGCCGTTGGCCGACAGCCTCAATATTGTGTTGAATCACCAGGACGACGAAGTAAGATGTTACAAGCTGTGCATAAGCGAAATTAGGGAGTTTTGATGTTACCGGGACCGAACAATGCCAGTGGGGGCGAAATAAAAGCAACCAATCAGATTCCCAGCCTGGATCTTATATGGAAAATTTGCGAAAATTTACGTTCCAGCTGTAATTTTGAGGGGAAATCCCATTACGGATTATGTAAGCAATATTGAATTCCAACCCTGGTTGAGATGGCTCGTTGGGTCATTGAGATGTTTTTACTATATCCATATGTATATATAGACGTTGAGAGTATTAAATAAATTGGAGAGCTATTATCGGGAGTCTCGGACCCTTCTGCATAAAGAGATTAACAGATCGGAGCATTAGCATAACAAAGTCCGAGATATGTCCACCGGGCAGAAATGTGATCTCCGTTCTCCGTTCCGTGGCATCCGAGTCAAATCATCTGTATTATTGAATACTGCCGAGGGCTCCGGTCAGAATGGCAATAGATCAGGATAATTAGAGCTACTTCAAATGTTATTTACTATGCACACCGGAAATAGGAAAAAAGATGAAAAGTAAAATGGCAACTACTCCGTACTATGTTGTAGTGACGCCATACATACCGACATGGGACTAGTAGACAGATAGAATAACTGTAATTTAAGGGGATAAGTAATACCACTAAAATTACACCCAAAATTCAGATATTGGTAAATACGAATACGCCCAATACTTCAGCCCATGGGTGAAATCCAGGTCTTTTCTTCCCCTTCTTCCCATCTCTTCTTTAATTACTATCTTCATTTCAGGGCTTCAAGTGGTCTCCTTGGTTTTCTCGAGTTCTGTTTACCCTGGGTTTTCTCGGTTGTGCCCTTTTCTCCTTGCATCCCGACCCTTGTCAACGTGACCTCCTGAGTTCCCTGGGACTCACGCCCCTCGGCCCTATCCTTCGCCTTCCTGTCGGCCTATCTCAACCTTTCATGAGCCTTTCTTCCGGTCAACGATAAACCTCCTTCCGTGACGCGAATTCCTTCCGTCTCGCCCCACGGTAGTCTTACAACTTTCGACCACTCCTTTTTCAACGCGATCCGGAGCCTCCTGGAGGAGAGTCGCAAACATGAGCGCTTCCTACCCGTCATGGAAAGACCGCACGCAAACCCAGTTTGGAAAGCTTCAGATCCAAGTGCCATGGCGCTCATTCCAGCTGTTGGTACCACATCGCATGCGTCGCAAGCTCCGGTCCAAACTCCGTAGCCGTCTCTCACCTACCTCGTCCATTTCGAGGTTGCAAACCTCCTTCTCGCCTGTCGACACCCTCAGATCCTTACAGTCACACCGATGGACAATGTATGACTTCCAATACTTGTTGCTCCTCATCATCGGCATTTTCTCCTTGACAATTATCCAGTCTCCTGGTCCACTAGGAAAGACGGCGATTGCCACCGGGCTTTTGTGCTCTCTCCTCATGCCAATTACCCGGCAGTTCTTCCTACCTTTCCTCCCCGTTGCTGGGTGGCTTATCTTCTTCTATGGATGCCAGTAAGTTTTGCCTTCCATTGGGAGTTTCTTGCAACCGATATTCCTGCCGTCTCTTTGTGATGCGAGTAGGATGTGAACGTGACACATGACGGGAACCTTGCTAACATATTTTTCTCTAGGTTCGTTCCAAGCGATTGGCGGCCTGCCATTTGGGTCCGAGTGTTGCCGGCTATGGAAAACATCCTCTACGGTGCCAACATCAGCAACATCCTATCTGCTCATCAGAATGTGGTGCTTGACATTCTGGCATGGATTCCTTACGGACTCTGCCATTACGGTGCGCCGTTTGTCGTTTCGCTGATCCTTTTCTTCTTCGGTCCCCCGGGAACTACCCCTCTGTACGCTCGGACTCTCGGATACATCAGTATGATTGCGGTCTTCGTTCAGCTGGCTTTCCCCTGCTCGCCACCCTGGTATGAAAATCTGTATGGGTTGGCCCCAGCCGACTACTCGATGCAGGGAAACCCAGCTGGCCTTGCCCGCATTGACAAACTGCTGGGTATTGATCTCTACACTTCGGGCTTCAAACAATCCCCTGTTGTTTTTGGAGCATTCCCTTCGCTCCATGCTGCCGACTCCACCCTAGCAGCACTATTCATGAGCCACGTCTTCCCGCGATTGAAGCCTCTCTGGGTCACCTACACTCTGTGGATGTGGTGGGCTACCATGTATCTTTCTCACCACTACGCAGTTGATTTGGTCTGTGGTGGCCTACTCGCCACAGTTGCCTTCTACTTTGCCAAGACCCGCTTCCTGCCCAGAGTCCAGGCGGACAAGATGTTCCGCTGGGATTACGACTATGTTGAGATCGGTGACTCTTCCCGCGAATTCGGTTATGATCTTGCTAGCTTGGATGGCGATCTTAACTTGGATAGCGACGAGTGGACCGTGGGCTCTTCTTCGTCCGTTTCCTCGGGCTCTTTGAGCCCCGTGGACGATCATTACACCTGGGAAAGCGAAACTCTCACCTCGAACCACGACATCGAGGCTGGACGCTAATCCTCAAGCCTCGTTTTCACATGTGGCTCGGCATCGTCCATTCTTGCATCTCCTACTTTCGAATCGGCGTTTTATGTTTGACGACAATGTTTGGGAACATTATCTGCATCGAGCAATTTTCGGCACCTTTAGGTTTTTAATAAAACCTCCGGTTCGCGCGGTACTTCCGCCTCGAGCTGAAGGTACTCCTCACCTTCTGGCTGTACATGCCTCGTCATCCCACTTTGGGCTGGCAACTCCGTCTATAATATTAATACCAGTGTCGGGAGGGATCGGGCCCTGTTCGCCTGCCTGCATTCGCCAATCCCTTCCCCACCGCCACTTTTGGCAACATTCGCTTGTACACATTCTCGGACGCCTTCAGGCGATCCCCTTTATTTTTCTGACCCACGTCTTTCGTTACGACTTTATGAACTGGGCGAGCCACTTTTCTTTGCTTTCGGCTCGTCCAGATGAACAAACATTTTTATCATTCGTGTCGCTCGCTCATCA